TCTTGGAGGTCGTATATTTTCATCTTGACCTTGGTATTACTATTGATTCTCAGTTGACTTTTAATAAGCATATAAAACAGGTTTGCTGCAAAAGTAATAGAATGCTAGGCCTAATTAAACGCAACTGTTGGAATATTAAGAACCAAAAAGCATTAACTAATCTGTATTGTTCACTTGTTAGACCTTATATCGAATTTATTTCTGTTATTTTTAATTGCATGTCTAATACATGCCTTACTAAAATTAATATTATTCAAAAACGATTTGTTAAATTTGTTTCTCGTACTTGTAATATCCCTTCCAATTATATCATTCTTCCTACTTTAAGTTCTAGACAAAATTACTTTGATTCTTTCTTTTTTATAATTGCGTTAATGGAGTTTATGGTTCTGATCTTATTTCCGTTTTTGTTTTTTCTGTTAAAACTTATCGATGTCGTAATTTTATCAGTTCCTCATTTAATGTTAAATTTTCTCGTGTTAATGCTAAGAAATTTAGTTTTATTGTTCGATTACCTAAATTTTATAATTCTCTTGTTGATAAAGGTAATTCTATTGATATTTATTATAATTCATTTAGTACGTTTAAACGTAAAATTAAGTTATATATTTAGATTTTTGACTGTTTTTTTTGTGTGTATTGTAAGTGGATTGTTCTTTATTGTTCTCTTCGTTTTATGTTATTCCATTCTGTAAGTGGCGGGCTCCCCGCTGTTGGCCTACGATCGCCCAAATAACACAGTCCTGACTCCAATGAGCAACGTGCACATCAAGTTACTGTAGTTAATCATGGGATGGGAATATTTCGGGAGCTCAATACACAGGTTCTAAACAAACACATTGGCATTTGAACGACTACATCATTAACAACCCAACCAGGAAATACAGTTGTAATCCTTCGATTTGCCCTTTTCCCTTATCAGCTAAGCAAGAGGTCATCATGTTATCTTTGTTATTATTACCATTACAGTATTGTTGTAATTTGCTGTTGTTATCTTTGTCGTTGTTTTCTTTGTTGCTAATTTAATTATAGGAATTGGTGCTACTGCTGCTGTTGTTGATGATATTTTGTATGTGTGCTTAACTTAATTTAGTATTCATAATGTTATTTAATTTTTATACTGCAATTCTTGATATCATGTAGGCCTATATTGTATTAACATTTCCCTATTTGCTGATTGAATTATTTAAATATTAAGCCGATTTGCATTACTTTGTTTACTATTTCTGCATGTATTATATTGATGTTATTGTTGTCTTTACTGTTGTTGTTGTTGTTGTTATTATTATTGCTAATTTACTTAATTTAATTATTATCGACCTGATTATTTTATTATTATTATTATTATTATTATTATTATTATTATTATTATTATTATTTATTCTTGTATTGGACTATTATTGTATTATTGCTGTTGCTAATTTTGTCATTGTGTTACTATCAATTTTCTCAATTTTCTCAGTTATTGTGGTTGCATTATTGTTATCTGTTAATATGGTATGATGGTGGTGGTGATGATGATGATAATAATTGTCGATATTGTTTTTAATCATTGTTGTTGTTAATTGTTATTATTTTTATTGCTTTTGTTGTTGTTAATTACTATTGTTTTTATTATTAATTAATGATGCTGTTTTTTATTGTTATTATAATTTTTTACATTCCAATCCGATTCGTGGTATCATTGTTGCCTTTGTTACTGTGCATTATATATTTTTTTATTATATTACTTATTAATTTTATTTCTTTTATTTCATATTTTACTCCTGCCATCTTGATATCATATGTCTCTAATGATCGGTATGGTATACCATATTCACGGTAAATACTGCTTTCATGCAATTTTTGATCCTTTTTTGAGCTTTTTAAAGCATTCTTGGTACCTTCGTTTTTAAATATTTTCTCCACTTTTTTGTGGTTTCTTTTTTTTTTTTTTTCGTTACTTTCTGTTGTCATGTCCGATTTTAATTGTAGTTCTTTTAGCAGCACCTCGAATTCCGACCGATTATCAAACATATGTTTTTCTCCCTTTCTTAACGCCACTGATAATTTTAACTCAAATATCGACCCTGATTCCCAATTTTTTTTCCAATACTCAAAGTATTTCTCAATATTATAAACCTGACGAGCTTCCTAGTAATAATTTTACTGACAATTTTTCCATTATCCATTTTAATATTAGAAGCATTTAAAAAAATTTCGATCAAATGAAACAGCTTCTAACCTCAATTAATTTACCCTTTGATATTATCGAAGTTAGTGAAACGTGGCTCAAATATGACAACCCACTCGTCCAGCTTCCTAATTATTATTTTGTGTCCAATCATAGAACTACGGAAGCTTAAAGTGACCTTCCGAGTTTCCGAGTTTCCAAGATAATTATCTTGGAAACATGGAATAAACACTTATTAAGACGTCTTTCCGAGATAATTTATCTCGGAAAGACGTCTTTCCGAGATAACGTATTTTGGAAAGACGGAATTCCAAGATAAAGTATCTTGGAAAGACGGAATTCCAAGATACGTTATCTTGGAAAGACGTCTTACCAAGATACATTTTGAGGATATTTCCTGCACGATTAAAATCGTAACGGGTTCCTTCTTCAGGAGTTCGTGTTTCGTACAGGTCAATCCATTCATAGAAAAGGCCTTTATTGGAGAAAGCGTACCTGTCGTTAGCCATAGTAGCCTAGGTCAATACTAACCCCGGCTATATAAAATTGAAAA